TGGCACAAGGTGTCGATGAGCGTGTTGTATGTCACTATATTGGGCCTGGGGGGGGGGGAAGACGTGCGTGGCGAGGGGGATGAGAGGGGTAGAGGGAAGGTAATGAGAAGAATTGAGAAGCCTCAAACCCGCACATGAGCGTGTTGTATGCCATTTTGTAAGAGGAAGGAGCGAGAAGCTGAGATATGCAAGGCAAGGAACCATTTTCCTCTGAGAACTAGTCTACTCTTCACTTCCTGCCAGATCTGCACTTGTCTCACTGTCAGCCTAAGCGTGAAGGGTGTCTTTCTCAGAAATTAACGTGCTAGCAGAGCAGGGCATAAGGGCCGTAGCTGGCTGCACTGCACCTCCTCTCCCTGCATAAGCGTACACGCCCACAATGGTTTTTCTCCAGGTACCCACCCACTGTGGGCCCAGCACGGCACGGCACGGCACGGCACGGCTGACCTGCAGTTGAGTGGCAGGCCGCCCGCCCCCGCACGCATGTCCATAAACACCTCCACCGCCTCGTCATACATGCCCCCCTTGCCAAACGTAGAGTTTTGAGACGCCTCAAACCTCTACTGTTCTCATGTGGCTGACCTGCAGTTGAGTGGCAGGCCGCCCGCCCCGCCCGCCCCCGCACGCATGTCCATGAACACCTCCACCGCCTCGTCATACATGCCCCCCTTGCACAGCGCACCAATCAGCGCGTTACACGTCACTGTGTTGGGCCTGGGCGGGTGGGATGGGATGGCAGAATGGTGGCAAATGGGTCGAGAGGTTTTACAGTGAGTTGCACAGGTGGTCTGGGGAAGGGGTTGGATGTGAAGGGGCATGGCATGGCACACCGTGGTGGTAACCCTCATTGGTCCCCCTTCCCCTCACCGGCAGTCATCATCATCGTCACACGTCTTCATGTGGTGGAACACAGCGAGGGCGTCCGTTTTTTAAGAATTCTCAGACAACCCTCAGTGCATTCCCCTCACCGGCAGTGCCTTCCCCTCACCGGCAGTGCCTTCCCCTCACCGGCAGTGCCTTCCTCTCACCGGCAGTCATCATCATCGCACGTCTTCATGTGGTGGAAGAACGCGAGGGCGTCCGTTTTTTGAGAACTCTCAAATAACCCTCAGTGCCTTCCCCTCAGTGCCTTCCCCTCACCGGCAGTCATCATCATCGCACGTCTTCATGTGGTGGAACACAGCGAGGGCGTCCTCGAACCACCCGGCGCGGCCGTACGCGTTGATGAGCGCGGTGTACGTGAAGTGGTTGGGGCGCGCGCGCGACAGCAGCATGTCCTGGAAGAGCAGCGTGGCGGCGTGCGCCTGCTGCTCCCTGGCCAGGAAGCCCATGAGCGCGTTGTACAGCCGCATGTTGGGCCGGAACCACGCCTGCTGCTGGCTCCACGCAAACACCTGCCGGATCGGAGAGGGGCGGAGGAAGGGGAGGAAGGGCAGGAAGGGGAGGAGGGGGAGGGCGGGGAGGAAGGGGAGGAAGGGGAGGAGGGGGAGGAGGGGAGGATAAAGGAGACGCCACTGCGTGGCTAAGCATGTCCTGGAAGAGCAGCGTGGCGGCGTGCGCCTGCTGCTCCCTGGCCAGGAAGCCCATGAGCGCGTTGTACAGCCGCATGTTGGGCCGGAACCACGCCTGCTGCTGGCTCCACGCAAACACCTGCCGGATCGCAGAGGGGCGGAGGAAGGGGAGGAAGGGGAGGAGGTGAGGAGAAAGGAGACGCCACTGGGTGGGTAAGAAGCCCACGATAGAGATGCGCCTTCGGAAGGAGAAGGGATGGGGAGCGGAGGAAACGGGCAGGGGTTGCAGCGGTTGCGCGCTGACCGTCGTTCTCATTGGAGCAGCGAGATTGAACTAGAGGAGAGGAGACGCCCCAACAGTGTTTTGAGACGTTTCAAAACACTTGTTCATACACGATGCCCCAACAGTGTGCGTCTCGTCACCTCGAGGGTGGCCTTCCAGTCGTGGCGTCGCTGCAGCTCCGTCATAAGCTCCTCCACCTCCCGCTTCTCCAGCGCCCCCGCCACCTCCGCCACCACCGCCTTCAGCGACCCCCCCCCGCCACGCACCCTCCCATCCGCCCCTCCACCATGGCTCCGTTGACTTGCTTGACCTTGCTGACTCTCTACACCCCTTATACCTCCCTGGCCTCCCCTGGCGCCTTCTCCAGCCACTCGCCTGGCCCTCTGTATAGTCACAATCGCCTGTAGCACGCGGTCGCTGACGGGGCTTCGGTTCGCCATCCTGTCTGCTCTGTGGCGGGGGGCTCTGGGCGCTGCCTTGTTCACCCACACTGTCGACTGCAGGGGGCGAGGGGTAGGGGGGGTGGACGAGGAGGAGGAGGAGGAGGAGGAGGAGGAGGAGGAGGAGGAGGAGGAGGAGGAGGAGGAGGAGGAGGAGGAGGAGGAGGAGGAGGTAAAGTAAGAGGAGGGAGGGGACGGCGGTATCGCTAATAGCGGTCGTGCTGGTTTGGCTGCTTGTAACGATGGGGTTGGTGGTGGTGTGGCTGGTGTTGGTGTTGCTGCTGAGGACGTCGCTGATTGGTCTGATTGTTTCTGCAAAATGCGCCCTTTTCTGCGAAACACCCGCGTATCTTGAAAGCCTTTGGCCTTCAATTCGACAGATGCAGATAAAGGCACTGGACGGAGCAATCTAGGCCGTCGGATTGCCATAAGCTTATCAGATTCTCTTGTTTCAGATGCTGCTGCAATTGCTGGCGCTCCCGCTGCCGCTCTTTGAGAGCCGCGCGTTGATGCTGTCGGATGCTCTGGGCTCGCGAGAGAAGAACTGGAGAGGGGCCTCAGGTCTCCTTTTTGCAGATTCGCAATCAGAGGGGCCTCAGGTCTGACCAAGCAGACTATTTTCTCTGCGTAAACCCCGACAGCCGTATCCTCGATTGTGTCATTATCACTCTCGCTGGTATAATCACCGTCGCTGCAAGCACTGTCGCTGAGGGAACCCGCGAACTGAATCTCCTGGTCATCGCTGCTATCGTACTCTACCGATCTACTCTCCGAACTCCTGACGAATCTCTCTTCCCTTGAGCCCTCAGGTAGATCGCTTCTCAATCCAGTGGTATTGGAATCCAACCGTGCCGACCTGGCAGACGCATTGGTTTCATGATACACGGCCACTGCACGTTCGGATGCCTCGAGCCTACTGAGTCGAAACAGTGGCGTCAGGTTCGGTGGGTTTCCATGAAGTGAGGAAGCACGGACAGAGGGAGTAAAGGAAGGGGATAGACGAGAAGGAAAGCTGGAAGACGCGGGTGAGGGGAGAGGCTGAGGAGAGTCAAGGCTTGCGGCTGGCTGGCGAAGAACAGGGTTATGGAGTAACGCAGGCACGACCGATTGAACGGAGCAGTGTCGAGCGGATGGCGGGACAAGGAGCGAGAAGGGCATGGATGCCGGGGATGCAATGCACGACATCTCAGAAATCGGTGATTCAGAAAGTCACGTTGGGGTATCGTCGGAGTTGCGGGGGGGGTTGTTTTTTAGGAGCTACGTTCACGACTCCGGGAAATATATGTTGTCAGGGGGGTCTAAAGCTTGGCATGTGTTCTTACGGCACACGGATGTTTCAGGTTATCGTAGAGGTAGCATCACACAACACGGCTCTCCCACAAAGTAGGGACGTTCGAGATTCGCTCGCGAAACATCTGTAACGTCAGCCCTGCCTCGAACACGACTGGATACCACGCAGCATGCCCACAACAGTTAGGGCGGGTCCAACTTTGCACATGTACAATATTTTTTCAGCTCAGTTACCACATTTCGGCATGTAACAGAACTACAAACGTACCAGAATTGTTATGAATGAACTTGCAGAGTGCGCAGAATATCGAATAACGAGAATGAACTGATTACCGAATTACTGAATGACGATACAATGAGAAAGGCACGACTAAATAGGGGAAGTCCTAGCTAGGCGGAGAGGTTAGGCGAGGATGGCTCGGTGATGGTTGCGATTGGAGCGGAGGCGACTCGGGAGTGGTTCGGTGCGACGAAATAGGAAGGACAGGTTCGTCGCGTGACCCTCGGGATGGCCTCGCTAACGAGTGCCTCAGTAAGGATTCTGTAAATCCTTACAAGAATCCATTTGACGCGAGACTGTACATGTATGATGACATTACGGAAACGTGCCCGGGGACGTGCAGAACACGTCCGAAGGTTCACGTCAAACTCGTTTCGCATCAAACACGCCAGAAGGTAGCACCCTTTTTCGCTAATTTGTTTTTCGCCAATGAATCCCACCTCCGTCACTGGCGCGAAAAACCTCGCTTTGTTGGGTAACCCCTCATCCCAGGTACTGTACCCCGCAGCGTTACTGTACCTTGTCAAAAGTCCGAATTGCGCACTCTGAACTGGACAGGAAATGTTTGGAGTTCGCCCTGGGGTACAGTCAAGTTTGACTAGTGCATTGACGTAAAAATGGCGAAAAAAACGGGAGTGTGCAAAGTTGGACCCGCCCTTATTATGCCTGCGGTGAGGAAAGGTCGGAAAATTTGGCCACTTCAATATGTTGCGACAAAAGTAGAGGTTGAAACTACAAAGTAGCTGGGCAAAAGGTTTAACTACTCAAATCAGCTACACCGTTTTCTTTATATCACTGAAAGCATGACATGTAATTGGCTTGCTACACCTTTGCACGGCCCGTCTGACACCTCTCCCCCGCCTTGACTGTCGAGTCAACTAAAACATCACCCCTTTTCCCCTTTTCCTTGCACCACCCTTGCATATCCCCTTTCCCCCACCTCTCCTCACTGCCTCCGACTCCCCCCCACAGATAGTGATATGCGGGCAGCCCCTGCACGGCCCCTGACGCCGCTGCCATGGAAGCATCAGCGGGCAGCGATGACAGCGGCAATGAGGGCAGTGATGGGGGTGAGTAGTGGTGGAATACAATGCATATGGTCAGTACCAAACCCAAGGATAGAGGGAGACGCTGACTCCCACGCCTTGAAAGCAGCCCCTGCACGACCCCTCTGACGCCACTGCCATATTTTGACATTAAAACTCATCAGGCTCGTCATCGTCAAACGGATCTCTTTCAGGGTATTCTCCAATCTGCCAAGGCAGAAGGTGGAGTCAGAATCAAATTGCACTCTGGAAGAAGGGAAAATTACTGGGTTAAAAGGCAACTAGCCCCTCTCACTTTGACTTTGTCTGGCCGCAGAAACGAGCCGTAATTGCGCTCACAATGAAAGACCTTCTTACCCTCCACACTGCAAGTAGAGACAAAAGAAGCCACAATGCAAGCTATGCGGCCTGCATTAGAATGCTGGGCATGATAACGCAGCAACACAGAAGAGAGAAAAAGAGAAGCTGAAAGAGAAGGGTGGAACAATAGAAGCTCAACAATATATAATAATAATAATAAATCTACGCACCTTCCATCATTGACCCCCACAGGCTCATCGAACTTCACTCCCACCCAGAATCCATTAGGAAGAACATCTACAGTGCCCACAAAGGCAACGCTTCCTCTCTTGCCGCCTGGGTCCACCTCACATCTGTCGCCAACCTGCAAGCAGACAGCTGACTCAGAGTTGAAAACAAGAACAATGAAGGTGAGGATTTCAAGAACCAGATTGTGTGACACGAAAAACAGAATGCTGGTATGGGGCACACTTGATGCGCCATTTGAGAGAAATTCGACACCTTTATGGTTGCTGCAATGTCAGCCATGAAGTCCGCAGAAGTACCCTGAAATGTGGAAACCAGAACGTTTCAAGGTCCATAATTGATATCTGAAACATCAGGAGATTTGATTTTGGACGAGAGAAGGCCAACAGCAGGAAGGAAGATCGAGCTTACAGGCTGAGGGGCAAGGTCAGGCCGTGCAGTATACAGTTGTTGCTTGAACCTCCGAACAGAATCTGTTAGAAATGTGTTAAAGTGTGAGTTCCTGACAGTGAAACATTGTCAGACGTTGCTCGTGGAAAGATGGATTCCGCATCATTTACCATCTCGTTTTTCATAATCTTCTTCAGAAATCGTGTATTTCTCCACCAAGGACGTGTCGTCCAGCCATCCAGAGGCAGCTGCTGAGGTGGGATCAGTGTCAATCACGTGGAGACGGTACCTGTCCAAAACAAAAAGAAAATTCAAACTCAAATATGCAGAGATTGGGCGTTGCTCAATATAATCACTTCCATCGTCAGGAGCCTCACTTGAAAGGCCAGTAAGCTTCGGGTCATGAAGAGTACCCGTTTTGAGGGGAGTAGTATCCCAGCAGTCGAATGTCCTCGAGTCCTGAATGTAACAATGTGTCTGTTTCTGACGACTTGCTGGAAGCACTGAAAAGCTGCAGCTGCATGGCTGACACGGCTGTTCCGGTGTGCACCTGAAGCTGCTCCTTCACGCGCTCTACAGAGCTCTGCTCAGAGAGAGAACAGCACGAATTGTACGAATCTATGAATCCAAAAACGGGTACTTTTCTCAGATAATGGAACGACGTAAAGATTTTTCGCGTCAACGTGCGAATTCAAACTATCACACAAGAATAACACGTCAAGGAAACAAAATGACGAATAGGTCTGCTGATGAAGGGGAGCGACTCGGTGAACTTGCACTTAGCGAGAACTTCATGTCAATGAATTGCCGCTTCAGATGACTGTGCGTTACGAGCAGAGACACGGTGTCGCCGTCGTTAGGAGCAGCAAGGGCGCTGGAACCCGTGGGACCATCTCGCACGTAACTCTTTAGAGCCTCAAGGTCTAGAGCAGCCATCGCTGGCTAAAGCGTATAGAAGTCGTGCAGACGATCAGTTGACGCAGATACCTAGTTTTGTTAGATCCCAAAATTGTCGAAGGGGGGTCCCTCTGAAGAAACGAACTCGGTACAGTAGCATGTGGCTGGGTTTGCTGTCGGAATGTTCTGTGGTGTATGAACTCGCCTGTGTTTTTACTGTTTCAGCGCGTATGAACCTTCGAGTAATTGTAATCACTTCCTCGATATTGCATTCTGCGCACTCTCTTCTTTGACAACTTATTCCCTAGGTTTGGACATTACAGCAAGGAACGACTAGCTTTCTTTTTCGCTCATTTCCGAAGGCCACACCGGTGGTTTCCGGCGCCTCGAGACCAACCTAACCTGCCGTACACTCGCCATGGTGCCGCCTCCTATCGCCCGCGCAGTTCAGCAGGTGCAGGGCGTCGCGCAAGCCGCGGCGCAATTCGCGCAGGAGCTCGTTTTCGAGCTACGCACCGAGTCGCAGGAGGCGCTGCGAACGGGCCTCGGCATTCCCAGGGCGGTTACCAGCATCGCCAGCTTCGGATGCTTCGTAAGCCGACCAGCTTACCCATTTCCCGTTCCTTAACCTTTTTTCCGTTCCGACTGTGCTGTTACCCATTCCTACCGAGCCGTTTTCCGTTCATGCCGTTCTGTCTCGCAATGTCTGTTCCTCCGTAGACGTAGGGTTTCCTTCCTGTCAGGTCCGCTTTTCTCGTGCTCTCATTCCGATTTACTCGAGGTTCCTCCTTTGCCAGCTTCCCCTGACGCCTGAAAGGAATCAGCCGTGTGACACAATCGAACGGAATTATTGCCAGGAAGTTACACTTCGGTATACGCATTTCGGATGAGATTTCGGTCATTGCAACTGGAAGTTCTGTCAGCGATAGCTTTCAGTCCTGCAAACCCTGAACCTCCTCCACTGTAACTGCAGGCAGTAGCAGCAGCGGGCACAGCAGCCATCACCACTGACTTCGTCGCTCGGTTATATGGCGCCAGGTAGGATGGTGCCACGTAAGACGATGCCAGGTAGGATGGTGCCACGTAGGACGTTGCTAGTTAAGTTGGGCCACGCCACTTAGGATGGCGTGGGAGGGACTGGGCAAGTTGGTTCCTGGGTTGGAATGGGATGGGCTGGAATTAAGAGTTGCTGTTGCAGTCGTGTGAATCCTTTCCCTCGTTTTTGTCCTTTATACTGTCTCACTCTCCGTGTGCATGCCATGCCGTGCTAGGCTTATTCCATGCCACCATGCCATGCCATGCCCACATACCGTTTTCAATCCATGCTGTGCCTTTTCCATGCCATGCTGCCGTGCCACACACAGGGAGTGTGAGGGATGCAACGGGTGGGAAGGAGTGGCGTGCACTACATGCCGAGGAACAGGACACACTAGAAGACAAGCCCTGCCATCCAGCAAGTGCGTACCATCCCTTGTCTGTATGCAATTTCCTATTCCCACTCCATGGCCTATGTCATGCCCCATTTCCCATACCCCCAGTTCCATGCTCCCCCGATTCTATGCTGATCTGCCATGCAACCTACCTCCTATTCCCATGGCCCATCCTGTATGCATTTCCCAATCATCCCCTTCCTCCCCATCCCCCTTCCTCGGTTTCTTTCCTCCCCATCCCCCTTCCACGGTTTCTTTCCATGCCATGCTGTGCCTTATCCTCTAAGTCCAATCTTGAGTCGACTCAGAAATGCACACCCAACCCAACCCTTCTTTCCTGATCAACCCCTTTCCCCAAACCCTCTTCCCCCAACCCCCCCCCCCCCACCCACCCTTCTACAACCCCTTTCCCAACCCTCAGGTCCTCTGGCCAATCTCTTCTGGTGGCATCACCACACCAGGCCGTCTCCTCCTCTGCCACTGCCTCACTGTGCCTCACTGTTCCCCACATGCCCCACATGCCCCACATGCCCCACATACCAAACATGCTCCTCTTTCCTTCAACCCCCCTTCCCCCCAACCCTCAGGTCCTCTGGGCAATCTCTCTCCTCGTGGCATCACCCCATCCCGCCGTCTCCTCTACTTCTTCCTCACCGTGCCCCACATCCTGCTCTTTCCTTCATTCCCCCTTCCCCCCAACCCTCAGGTCCTCTGGGCAATCTCTTCTGGTGGCATCACCTCACCCCGCCCTCTCCTCTTCCTCCTCCTCCGCCTCTGCATCTGCCTCACTGTGCCCCATGTGCCACGGGTCAGGGGGCGAAGTTTGAGGCGCCAATTTCCCCAACGCCTCCATAACCCAACCCCCTTTCCCCCAATCCCTCCTCCCCCCAACCCTCAGGTCCACTGGGCAAACCCTCCTCGTGGCATCACCTCACCCCGCCGTCTCCTCCTCTTCCTCCGCAGCTGCTGCCTCTGTTTCTCTCTGCCCCACGTGCAACGGGTCGGCGGTTATGAAGTGTTCGGTGTGCAACGGAGATGCGTGGAAACACAAGATCACATTCGACAGGGTGAGAGAGGATCAGGGGTTGAAGGGACTGTCTGTGTTTGTGTCTCGCTCTGCCCCACGTGCCACGGATCGGGTGTTATGAAGTGCTCGCTCGGTGTGCAACGGAGACGCGTGGAAGCACAAGATCACATTCGACCGGGTGAGAGAGGATCAGGGTTTGAAGTGGCTGTCTGTGTTTGTGTCTCGCTCTGCCCCATGTGCCACGGATCGGGTGTTATGAAGTGCTCGCTCGGTGTGCAACGGAGACGCGTGGAAGCACAAGATCACATTCGACCGGGTGAGAGGATCAGGGGTTGAAGGGACTGTCTGTGTTTGTGTCTCGCTCTGCCCCACGTGCCACGGATCGGGTGTTATGAAGTGCTCGCTCGGTGTGCAACGGAGACGCGTGGAAGCACAAGATCACATTCGACCGGGTGAGAGAGGATCAGGGTTTAAAGGGAGTGTTTGTGTCTCGCTCTGCCCCACGTGCCACGGATTGGGGGTTATGAGGTGTTCTGTGTGCATTGGCGACGCGCGGAAGCACAAGATCACGTTCGACAGGGTGAGTGAGACGTGAGAGGGCGAGGGGTTTGCAGGGAGAGGGATTGTGTTGCTGGTCTGGTCCTCACGCTGCTGCGCCACGTCCTTTGGTCGGTCCTTGAAAGTGGTGAGGTGTTCTGTGTGCATTGGAGGCGGCTTTTGAGGCGCCTCACAATGCCTGGTATGGTATGCTTTGGCGAGGTGTGAGAAAGTGCCAGATTACATCCGATAGGGTGAGTGAGATGTGATGTGAGAGCTGACTGAGGGGTAACGCATGGAATTCCAGTGGGGCGCAGGGAGAGGGATTGCGTGTGTGTCTGAATGTTACATGCTCTGCTGCCACATATGCCATCCCGTGTTATTGCTCAACAATATTAAGGGGTATAAAGTGCTTGGTGTGCAACGCAGACACGTGGACGGTGGAAGCATAAAACCACATCCGCCAGGGTGGAATGTGAGGGCTGGCTGGTACAGATGAAGATGATGATACTTGTTCGTTCTCGCTTGCCCTTCTTCCCCCCCTCCACTTTCCCCCAACCGCTTCCCTCCACCTCCTTCCCCGTCCCCCACCCCTCTTCCGCCCCCTGTCCGTTCTTCTGACGTCCGCCCCTCTTCCCTCTCTCCCCCAGGTGCTGGACTCGCCACTGAAAGCCTGGGATGCGTACCGCGTGGCCAAACCTCATGCACTTGATAGGAACGCCAGGAGTGACACCCATTTCCCCCATTTCCCCTCTTCCACCCCTCTTCCCTCTCTCCCCCAGGTGCTGGACTCGCCACTGAAAGCCTGGGATGCGCACCGCATGGCCCTCCCTGACTTATCCCCCGGTTGCCCTCTTCCGCCCCTCTTCCTCTCATGTTTGCTCCGCCTTTCTTCCCGCCCCTCTTCCCTGCCCTGCTCCCAGGTGCTGGACTCGCCACTGAAAGCCTGGGATGCGTACCGCATGGCCAAACCCGTCATGGTACGTAGCGTGGCATGACACATGGCATGGCAGGGCATGTGATGTGATGATGATCTGCCATGCCATGGCAGGGCATGTGATGTGATGATGATCTGCCATGCCATGGCAGGGCATGTGATGTGATGATGATCTGCCATGGCATGGCAGGGCATGTGACCGTGCACACTGGGATGCGTACCGCATGGCCAAACCCGTCGTGGTACGTGTTGTGATGTGATGCTCTGATGCCTGAGATGAGTTGCAACGGATGGTACATGTTGTTTGTGATACATGTTGCATTCTATTGTGGTAACCCTAAACCCAGGCTAGGTGTGTTTGCCATGAGTGCCATGGAGCATAGCATACTAGGGATACAAATCAAGTGTTATGTCATGAGTGTGTGTGTGTCAAGTCTGCGAGATTTAGTCATATCTCAGAGAGCTGAGATATGTCTAAATCTCGCGTGGATACAAATCAAGTGCCATGTCATGAGTGTGTGTGTGTCAAGTCTGCGAGATTTAGTCATATCTCAGAGAGCTGAGATATGTCTAAATCTCGCGTGGATACAAATCAAGTGCCATGTCATGAGTGTGTGTGTGTCAAGTCTGCGAGATTTAGTCATATCTCAGAGAGCTGAGATATGTCTAAATCTCGCGTGGATACAAATCAAGTGCCATGTCATGAGTGTGTGTGTGTCAAGTCTGCGAGATTTAGTCATATCTCAGAGAGCTGAGATATGTCTAAATCTCGCGTGGATACAAATCAAGTGCCATGTCATGAGTGTGTGTGTGTCAAGTCTGCGTCTGCCCGCGGCTCTCCTGTCTGTCGCTCAGCCCTTTCCCTCCTACCTTCTCTCTCTTCTCTCCAGCGTACGCCTCCCATTCCCCTGCCCCTACTTCCTACCCCTCGAACGGCCCTTGCATTAATCAGGGGGTGTTACAAAGGTAGATGGAAACATGCATAACAAGCAAACAAACCGGTTACCTAACTACCACACCGTCTCCTCCCACTCACGTTCCCCTCTGTCCGACCCTATTGGTCGAACGGGGGCTCAATCAACTGGTGCTCAATTTCGTGCACCATCCATTCCCATTATTCCTCCCTCCCTCCCCCACAGCCATCCCCTGAGGCAATGCAAGACCCCAACCGCGCTGCCTTCTGGTTGCTGCAGCGGCCCTCTTGCCCACCTCCTCAACCCTTCTCCATGCACCTCCTCTCTCTTCCCTCCCTTTTTCTCTCCTCTCCTCACAGCCATTCCCCGAGGCAATGCAGGACCCGAACCGCGCTGCCTTCTGGTTGCCTTTCTCTTGTCTGCAGACCTTCTCCCTCTCCCATCCGCATCTCCCTTTCCCCCTTTTCTCCGCTTCCCCCTCTCAGCCATCCCCCGAGGCAATGCAAGACCCCAACCGCGCTGCCTTCTGCCTGCTGCTCTCTTGTCCACTATCCAACCTCTCTCTCTCCCCTCCCTTTCTCCGCTTCCCCCCCCCCCCTTAGCCATCCCCTGAGGCAATGCAGGACCCCAACCGCGCTGCCTTCTGGCTGCTGCAGCGGCCGGCAGTGGAGGAAGGGGTGGAGATGAGTGAGAGGGACAAGGAGGCCGTGTGGTGGGAGCACCAGGTATGACGTGGGGCATGATGTGGGGCATGGTATGTGGTGGTGGGGGTTGGCAGTTTCCCTTCTGGCTGCTGCAGTGACCGGCACTGAAGGGGTGTAGATGAGCGAGAGGGACAAGGAGGCGGTGTGGTGGGAGCACCAGGTAAGGCATTCAGGAGCAAGGGCTATGACATAGGGTATGGGGTGGGGCGTGTGGGATAGCTTTTTTTTTTTGAAGGTGAAAATGCACTATATAATGAGATTATACAATGCGAAACACCACGGTCGTAACCGATTCGGGGAGGGCTTTGGTCAATGTACTAGCCCTCGTAGGGCTTAGGTACATTGTACCGTACCCTCGCAACCTATTATGGGGGTTTAAACACAAGGCGACTGAAGATCTCATCTTGCCCGTTTGGGCTTAGTGCATCATTGATTGGTTTGAGCTGTTGCTCGCTTCCTTGAATTGCACTGCACTGACTTTGGGAGAGGATGGTTGGAGCGTCTGCTGCCTCTGCACCGGATTCTTCTCTTGGGAGAAACATAACTTCAAATTCATGGCGCCTAGTTGCTGAAAGGCCTTCGTCTCTGTCCTCCAATTGAAGGTAGACTTCTTGAAGCTTAGGAACCGTCCCATAATCGTCATCTTCGTCCTTAGTTTTAAAACAACCGTCGTCTTCAGAAAATCCAGCAATAAAAAGGCCGTAGTCTTCAAATTCATGAGCTATGTTTGAATGAAGAGTATCTTCTAGACCTGTACGTGACTTGGATCCTTGTGAGTCGACTCAAAAGTCACCTCTTTTGAGTCGACTCAAAAGTCACCTCTTTTGAGTCGACTCAAAAGTCAGAATGAAGAGTATCTTCTAGACCTGTACGTGACTTAGATCCTGCTGTCTTCGAATCTGTTTCTGATGTGAGTGGTTGCAGATATGACTTCACGTGATTTAGATGCTCCTTTCCGTTAGGAGGTTGTCGATGAATGGCAGCAAACGCTGATAGACGGAAGATATTTCGTTGTGTCGCGACCTTGTACTTGAAACTTCCACTTTCTGCTATATGAGAGTGACTTTTGAGAATTCTCAAAAGTCGCGACCTTGTACTTGAAACTTCCACTTTCTGCTATATGGGAGTGACTTTTGAGAATTCTCAAAAGTCGCGACCTTGTACTTGAAACTTCCACTTTCTGCTATATGGGAGTGACTTTTGAGAATTCTCAAAAGTCGCGACCTTGTACTTGAAACTTCCACTTTCTGCTGAAACTGTTACGCTTCCCACGTGCCATCTTGGATGACGTTTTGGAAAGAACTCGGCCATTGTGACTTCCTTGGAGTAGCTTGATGTCATGGGCTTAAAATAACAACCATTTAACCTGAAAACCAGATCTTCACAGGGGAAGTTAAGACTAACCAATGTTCTCGGTATGAACACAATGTCGGTGTCTTAATCAAGCCCTTGACGCGTAGATCCAGAAAATGTGTTCAGATTGCTGAACTGGTAGAGAAAAGCTTGACATTGCTTGAGCTAAAGTTTCTGTAAGGAGCCATGGCGGAGAGCTCTAGAACAGAGATTGCGAGTGAGTGTGGGATAGCATGAGGTATGGCGTGGGGTATGGCATGTGGTGGGGGGGTGTGTAGCTGCTGTCTGGTTGCTGCAGCGGCCGGCAGTGGAGGAAGGGGTGGAGATGAGCGAGAGGGACAAGGAGGCCGTGTGGTGGGAGCACCAGGTATGCAGAAGCATGTGGTATGGCATGGGGTATGGCATGGGGTATGGCATGGGGTATGGTATGGGGTATGGCATAGCATATGGCATGGGATAGGGCGTGTGGTATAGCATGATGGGGTATGGCATGGGGTATGGCATGGGGTATGGCATGGGGTAGGGCATGGGGTATGGCATGGGGTATGGCATGGGGTATAGCATGGTGGGGCTTGGCAGTTTCCCTTCTGGTTGCTGCAGCGGCCGGCAGTGGAGGTAAGGGCGGAGATGAGTGAGAGGGATGAGGAGGCCATGTGGTGGGAGCATGAAGTATGGCATGTAGGATTGTGAGTTATGGCATGTGGCATGTGGCATGGGGCATGCAGCATGGGGCATGTGAGACAGTAGGCGGACACAACCTGTGCTGTGTCTCTGCTGCTTGCCTGTGCTGATGTGGCCTTTTGTCTCTCCAACTCCTCAAAAAGCTCTCCCGTTCTTCCCATCCTCTCCCGTTCTTCCCATCCTCTCCAATTCAGGTGACTTTTGAGTCAACTCAAAAGTCACCTTTTTCTCCAACTCCTCAAAAAGCTCTCCCGTTCTTCCCATCCTCTCCAATTCTGCAGCCCTCTCTACGCTCCTGATGGTGTGTTGCCTCTCTCCCATCCTTTCAGACTTGCCTGTTCCGCCTGCTACCCTCTCCCATTCCCTCTACCCTCTCCCATTCCCTCTACCCTCCCCCATTCCTCCCACCCTCCCTATCTGCTGCAGTGGAACCAGCGGTACGAAGGCATGCGGGAGGCAGTGCTGCAGAAGCAGCCGGGGTGGCAGCAGGCTCAGCAGGTGGGTTCTGCCGTCTCTTATGCCACGTGTGGTTCGATCGATGCTGCAGGTTGAGTCGCCAGGTTCTGACTTTTGAGTCGCCAGGTTCTGACTTTTGAGTCGCCAGGTTCTGACTTTTGAGTCGCCAGGTTCTGACTTTTGAGTCGCCAGGTTCTGACTTTTGAGTCGCCAGGTCCTGACTTTTGAGTCGCCAGGTCCTGACTTTTGAGTCGCCAGGTTCTGACTTTTGAGTCGCCAGGTTCTGACTTTTGAGTCGCCAGGTTCTGACTTTTGAGTCGCCAAGTTCTGACTTTTGAGTCGCCAGGTTCTGACTTTTGAGTCGCCAGGTCCTGACTTTTGAGTCGCCAGGTCCTGAATTTTGAGTCGCCAGGTTCTGACTTTTGAGTCGCCAGGTTCTGACTTTTGAGTCGCCAGGTTCTGACTTTTGAGTCGCCAGGTTCTGACTTTTGAGTCGCCAGGTTCTGACTTTTGAGTCGCCAGGTTCTGACTTTTGAGTCGCCAGGTTCTGACTTTTGAGTCACCAGGTTCTGACTTTTGAGTGGACTCAAAAGTCAGCCGGGGTGGCAGCAGGCGCAGCAGGTGGGTTCTGCCGTCTCTTATGCCACGTGTGGTTCGATCGATGCTGCAGGTTGAGTCGCCAGGTTCTGCCGTCTCTCATGTCATGTCACAGGTGTGTTTTGATGCTGCATGCATGGTGCATGTGTGTGTATATGCGTATGTATGGCTCAGGGAACTCGTCATGGCTTTCCTTTGCATGGCAGCCCATGGCTCAGAAACGGGCCTCAAATGGGTTCTTCTGTGTACCTTATGTTGCATGCATGGTGCATGTGTGTGTGAATGTATGGGTGTATGTATCGCGCATGCCACGCGGCATGGCTTCGCATATCTGGCAGCCCATGGCTCTCAGCTTCACATCGCAATACGTTCTTATTCGAACTTCCACTCTCTCACCCCCTCACTCCCACACTCCTTCCTTCCCCTCCCCCATAAACATCAGCCTAGGCTCTAATCGAAATGGGTCCATCTGCGCGCCTCAACAACCCTCAGCCTCGCTGTCCCTTCTGATTCAAACCTAACACTCCCTCGCAGCGTCAAAATGCTCTCCAATTCGAATCAAACACTGCCTTTTGAGAATTCTCAAAATGCTCTCCAATGCGAATCAAACACTGCCTCACTAGCGCACTCCATCAAGCCGTCCTTCCCCACTTACCCATTTTCCAGGATTTAATCAAGATAGATCCATCTGCGGCTCTCACGCCCTCAGCCTCACTACCTCTATGTCAAAACATATACTCCCTCACTCCCCCTCACTCCCTCACTCCCTCACTCCCCTCACTCCCCCCCACTCCCTCATCCCCCCACTCCCTCATTCCCCTCTCTTCCCTCTCTTTCCAAGCTTTAATCCAGATGGATCCATCTGCAGCTCTCAGCGACCCTCCCTTTCATGTCACAATGATCTTTAATTCAATTCGAACACTCCCTCACTAGCTCACTTCCTCTCTCCGTCCTTCCCCCCCTCCCCGTTTTCCAGGCTTTAATCGAGATGGATCCATCTGCGGCTCTCAACGACCCTCAGCTCGATGCTGCTGTCCGAACCAAGCCACTCAAGGCTCGGCGGCTGCCGAAGCTGGAGGGCGACGCCGAGGCTCGGGTGGCCGCAGCTCTGGAGGAGGCTCGGAAGAAGGTGGAGAAGATGACTCCTCCCCCCCGACCCAAAGACTTTGGGGTGAGTTGCTTTAGCTTGAGGAGGTAGGGAAAGAGAGGGGAGGGGGGAGACGAGGAAAGAGGAAGAGAGAGTGCACTGTGCTTTCTCTATCCTTTTGCATGTCTGTACTTGCTTGGATCTAATACATGGACCGCTTGAGAGAGTGGGTCCGGGGGGAAGGTGTTAGGACGCGTCACCTCCCTCGATCGATCGTGCAAAATCGAGGAAGATCGATCGTCCACCGCACTAAACCCCCGCGTGTTGCATTTAAATTTAATTGGAAACCTTTTGAACCGAATAAAAAATCGATCCTGCGCAGGATCGATCGAGGCAGGTGACGCGTCCTTAGGGTGATGCTTGCACTTCAACCCAAATAAGGGAAGAAAGAGGGGCATGGGGGAAGAGGAAAGAGGATGTGAGAAGACTTTTGAGTCGACTCAAAAGTCACCTCAAAAGAGGGGCATGGGGGAAGAGGAAAGAGGATGTGAGAAGAGGTACTGGGCAAAGGATGATGCCTCTCCTCCGAACCGATTACTTTGAGGTGAGAAACTTTGGCATAAATGGTCAGAGGGGGAGAGGCAGCAGTGGCAGGCAATGGTGGTGCAGCAGCAGAGGGAGGTGGAAGAGAAAAAGCTGGTCGCTGCAACCCTTCCTAACCCCTCTCCACCATCATAAACCTTTATTCTCCCTTTTTCCACCTCGCAGTCTTTCCAGCTAGACTGGGTGTAGGAGGCCGATCAGTCCAAAATCAAGGGGGAGGCAGAGAGGCAGCAGTGGCAGGCGATGCTGCAACCGCTTTCAAACCCTCTCCACCATCTGACAACCCCTGTGCTCCACTGGTGCCCCTCGTCCTCCCCTGCGGCCCCTCCCACCTCGCAGTCCTTCCAGCTGGACTGGGTACAGGAACCCGATCAGAGCAAGATCAAGGGCGAGGCGGAGAGGCAGCAGTGGCAGAGGGAGGTGGAGGAGAAAATGCTGGACGCTGCCTGGCGGGACACCTGGCAGAACGACAAGGTAAAGGGGTGGGGGGGGAGAGGGATAGGGACGTAGGGAATCAGGGAGAGAGGAGTAGGGGCAGGGTGAGAGGGGGGTGTGGTCAAAGCATGCTGCAGGAGCAGAGGGAGGGGTTGTTCTAGTCACGTCAAAGCATGCCGCAGCAGCAGAGGGAGGTGGAGGAAAAAATTAAGCTGCTTGGCCGGAGAGGTGGCAGAACCATAAGGTGAGAGGGAGGGGAGGTCAGTACGGAGAGCACGTGGGGGAGGGCTGTCTCTCATGCATAAGGCAGCAGATGGCGCAGCAGTAAGAGTCCATGTGTAATGTCTTTCCTATACTTTCCTGCCCCCCTCCACCTCACGTTCCAGGTAGAGTGTCAGGCAGAAAGCCGCAGATGAAGCAGGGGAAAGCAAAGGCCGTCTTTTCTCACTTCCACTTTTCCCTCCCCCTCCCCCTCCCACATGACTCGTTGGAGGTAGAGGAGAGTCTGAAGAAGGCTGTTTCACGCATGAAAGCCGCAGATGAAGCAGTGAGGAGGGCAAAGGTTGTCTTTTCTTATGTCGACTTTGCCCTCCCCCTCTGCCTTCCCCACCCCTCGTTGCAGGTAGAGGAGAGCTTGAAGAAAGCCATTTCTCGCATGAAAGCAGCCGATGAAGCAGCGAGGAGAGCTAAGGCTGCAGAGGCGGCTGCTGCTGCAGGAGGGGGAGCAGCAGCAGGTGCAGCAGCAGGAGGAGGGGTGGGTGGGAAAGGAGGGGCAGCGAGCAGTGGGGGCAAGGCGGCAGGGAAGAAGAGCAGCGGAGGGGACAAGGGCAAGGGCAAGGTGAGGGAAAACAAAGTCCTGTCATTCTTTTTGGCTCCTACTGCTTCCTCCCAGCACCCTGCTGGCTCCGTCGTGTGTGTGTCAAAAAAGAAAAAGAAAAAGAAACTCTCTTCCTTTGTTTTCAAGTGCCCCAAAGCCAACTGTCACTCCACGGTTCTCATGCGTTTCGTTCTGTCATTGTGCAGCGTTAGCCCTGCGTGAACTGGGCTTGCAACCGGCCAATCGACCCCAAGGGGCACAGCACAGCCCACCCTTAACGTTTAAATTAGATTAGCCACACCTGCACTTGCAAACTGTAGAACAGTGACTGCATGCAAGTTATAAGATGGATAGAATGAAGACTGCAAGTGTGTGTTTGCTTAAAACGATTTTGACCCTTCTGTGAGTTTTGCGCCGCAGGGAGTTAGTGTGGGGCTGTTGAGTCTTGTGCATTTGTTATCATCAAGTGCTTTGCTTTGCTGCCTGCTACTGTATGAATAGATAAATGCAGATGCTATGGTAGAACTTGGTACAGTAAACTTGCAATTCTTAAACTCCCCCTCAGCCACCCTGCCTCCTCCAACCGTCCCATGCCCTGTCTCCCACCCTCTTCACTGCTGTCTGCCCCAGCGCTCCCTGGTCACAGCATTCCACAACAACCCACTCACACACCCCATGCCTCCTTGGGTCTCTCAATACTCTCTCTCACTCTACTCTCATATCCATTCCCTCGCCCACTCCCATATCATATCATATCATATCCACACGGTTCTTTCCCCCATGCTTAGATACATTTCCAAAGCCTCCCATCTCGTCAGCCCTGGCGAATACCCTGACAGCACCCGCGCCCCTTGCAACCCCACCTCTCTCTCTACCCCTTCCTCCACTGCTCTCTGCACTTGCAGTGCTGCTGCCGCTGCGTCAGGCTTCAAAGCCCCTTTCACCGGTGCTGCTGGCGAATCACACTCCGATAAACCAGTAGCTGGCGCGTCAGGCTCCGATATATTACAAGCTATCTCAACACACTTGTCCCCATGCATTAAAGCCATACTCTGTACCCCCACCACCCCTCCTCCCCTCTCACTCACTCTCCTAGCCACCCTTCTAGCCGCTGCCAGGGTGGTTTGGGTGACTCGGGAGGGGGTTTGGATGGGTATGTTGTAATTGTACACCCACGGAGCGGCGCCAACTGCAACTCTGCCCTTGAGAGGGTTCGGGTGGAGGGGCCCCAAATCGGGAGGTGTGGACAGAGGCTCGGGAGGAGGTATGGAAGGAGGCTCGGGATGGGCAGCAGCGTTGACAGAGGTTTCAGCTAACCCAGATGTCTCTGAACGCACTGCGGGCGGTCGGAAGTATCCCAGGTCGCGGCGAATGGCGTCCAGAGGGCGGTTGGTGGGGCTCGCAGCACCGTACAGGTGCACGGGGACTGGGGAGTGGGAAAGGGTGGGGCGTGGTGCGTAGGAGTGGGGAGGAGTGGGGTGGGTTGCGGAGGGGTGGAGAGTGGTTGGGGCGAACAGGAAAGTGGTTGAGTGATCTCGCAGTTATAAAAATCTTGAGTAGTCTTGGAAATGCTCTTCGTTTCGAAAATTGCGTTCTATCGTACCTCCGTGATGCTGCCCCAGATTCCGCCCGACGTTTCTCGCTGACGTTGCAGCGTCTGCCAGCTCAGCACGCAGCAGCGGCCGGAGTGCCACGTGGTCCAACACTCCGATGCACGGGTGGCTGCCGACGTGGCGACTCAGATCAACGGTCTCGATCGCTCGGCCCGAAAGCAGGATCACCGTCCGTTCCAGATCCCGCGCAGGCCCCGCTAATGTCACACCCGTTCGCGCATACGGCTCGTCTTCGAACACGTGGAGGATTCTGGTTGGCGCGCGGGAGGCGGCGAGAGAGGAGGCGAGCGATTGGAGGAGAGACGCGCAGCGCGCGATGGAAATGTAGACGTTAGCGGCGAGTAACGGGGAAGACATGGCTGTGATTGTAACGAGAGGTGGTCGAAACTTGTGACTGCAGAGAAAGGAGTTTTTGAGAGGAAATCGCGAGGCACTGCGTGAGTGGCGCGGGAAAATCGATACGCGAAAATGGAGAGCCCTTTATTCTCTCATGCACTTTCTGCTAGTCACTGTAGAGCTTGCTTCAACTTTCTGTATTAATACCCGTTCAAGGGTTTCAATTCAAATTAATGATAGCATGACTGTTGACGATGAAGGTGTAGGAAAAACGCATACAGTATCAAATTCGAGGAATGCTGTATATTTATGTACCTTAGTCATACATATACGTATATGCAAAATCCCATACCAAGTTTTACCACCACCTGGAGGGTTGGTGTGGATGAGTGTCATGCTCATGCTCATGGTGTGAGTGATGATGGTGGAACGGGAAATGCATGAGCCACACGAACGCCACCCATAAATGCAACACCACCAAATACACCCACAAGCTCGTCCTCGCAACCACATTAGTCCGCAACACGCCGCCCGCACTCCCCAGGAAAAGCGAATCAAATCCCAAAACCGTGTCCACAACTCCCACCACAATCGCATTCCCCGTCGGCCCGAGCCCAAAATCCCTCTGAGCCAAAGTCAATTTTCTCGAACGGTTCAAGATGGCCTCTCTTGAAAACCCCGGGTCTCCCTCTATTCCCTCCTCCCCTCCCTCCTCTAGAGCCCTTGCTTCCGCTGCTGACGCAGCAGCTGCCAGGTCAGCAGCAAGTGGGCCCGGTGTGCTGGCGAGGAAACGCGCAGTGACAGCTGCCGACGCGGGGTTTCGTCCGCTTCTGAGGAAGGTGGACAGGCGGTGTTTGTCCTTTTGCAGGGCGGCGGATTCCGTCTCGATGCGGAGGGAGAGGGTTGACTTTTCGATCTGTAGGGACTCTACTTGCTGCTGCTTCAATATAAGCCGCTCCGTTAACTGCTGTAGCCTTGACAGGAGATTTGATTCCACCTCTGACTCTGCCTGCTGCTGGGCGGTTGCTGACTCAGCATCCTCCAGTTGCTGACGCAGCAGAGCAACCTGTTGTTGGGCGTAGGAGGAAAATGAGAAGGTTCCAGCAAGGGGGGGTGGGAAAGTCTCTTACCAATTCACTCACTCCCTCACTCACTCATTCCCTCCCTCACTCACTCCCTCCCGCACTCACTTCCTCACCCACTCACACCCATCTCACCTCCTTCATCTGTCGCAGAGTCCCATCTAACAGCCGGACAGATGCTGCCCCACCATCACCCCCTCGCCCTGCAGTTTTTCACTCATCTCCCCATTGGCCCAATCCCTCACTCACTCACTATTTCATTCACCTCACTCCCTCACTCACTCCTTCGTCACACCCACCCCTCTCACCTCCTTCCTTCTCCGTCGCAGAATCGTCTCCAACAGCCCAACAAATGTTGCCCCGCCAACATCACCCCCGCGCCCTGAAGTTTCTCAGTCATCCACCCACTGCCTCAATCCCTCACACTCAAAACTCCCTCCCTCACACACTCACTCACTCCCTCACTCCCTCACTCACTCGCACCCCTCTCACCTCCTTCCTTCTCTGTCGCAAAGTCCCCTCCAACAAACCGACAGACGTTGTCCCACCACCATCACTCCCTCCTCCTGCATCTCCTCCCAATCCTGCCCCCTCTGCTCCCTCTGCTGCCCCGTGCCTGCCAGCTGCTCCTTCTCCTGCAGCTGCTCCGCCCCCTACATTCGCAGCTGCTCCCTCCTCCTCTCTCCCCTTCTCCCACCTCCCCGCCTCTGCCCCTTCCTCTGCTGCTCCCGCTGCCTCTCCCTCGGCCTCTGCCCACTGAACCCGTTGCTCCAGTTGCTCTATCTCCTCCGTCAGCCGGTGCACCGTGGACCAATCAGACGTTAGAAGCTCAACCTATGAGGAGCGCAGAGGGGCAGAGAAGGATGCAGAGGGGTGCAGATGGGTGCAGAGAAGAAAGAGAATTCATAGGAGCGAGAGCCATGCTGCTCGTTGCACCACCTGCTGCTCCAGTTGCTCGATCTCCTCTGTCAGCGGTGCACTGTGGACCAATCAGAAGCCAGCAGCTCGACCTAGCAGGTGTTTGACGGATGCGAGGGAACAGAGTGAAAAAACGGTAGTAGATCGGGAAATTAATGGGACAGAAAGAAACACAAACGAAAACGAAAACGAAAACAAAGCGGTTTGGGATAGGGTTTCGGGTGTAGGAGAAAGGAAAGTTACTGGGTACAGGGGAGAGTTCTGAATTTCCTCCTGACACAGCCACCCACTCACCTTCTCTTCTAGAGCTCTCTGGGCGGCAGCCAGTGCCGCCATGCCACTTGCCGCCTCCGTCTCGTAGTGCGCCTCCCGTGCCGCCCGCTCCTTGCGCGTGGCAGCGTGTGATTGGCTCTCTGCTGTCACCGCCTCGAATCCTCTCCTCACACGCGCTCTCAGCTCCTCTGCCTGAGTGCGTGCGAATACAGAGAGGGAAAGGAGAAAGGGAACGGAAAAAGGTTAGGAGAGGAGAGAGAGACAGTGCTTTTAAGTTGACTTAAATCCTCTCCGCACATGCGCTCTCGGATCATCTGCTGGAATGCATGAGATTACATGGGAAGGTGGGAAGGCAGGGGGGGGGGGGCAGTAGTTAGTCGACTCAAAACAGCATTGCGCCCTCAGTTCCTCAATTCCTCAGCATCGCGCCCTCAGTTCCTCTGTCTGACCGCTTCAACTTAACTCAATTCCACACTGCTCCATAACCCACCTTCCACCTCCGTTGCTTTCTACCTCACCTTCCGTCTGTGCTGCTTTGCTGCCTTTTGAGTCGACTCAAAAGTCACCTCACCTTCCGTCTGTGCTGCTCTGCTGCCTCTCTGATCCTTGCCTCAGCCTCCCTTCTCTCCCCCTTCCAGCACCCCCACCAGTTGACTCCTCTCCACCACAGCAGCCCTAGCCACCTGCAAAGCCAAGCTGACTCCCGTGCTGCTCATAACGTGCCTTCCTTTTGGGTACCTCTAGAAACAACTCACCTTCTTCCTGTGCTGCTCTGCTGCTTCTCTCATTCTCGCCTCAGCCTCCCTTCTCTCCCCTTCCAGCACCCCCACCAGTTGACTCCTCTCCACCACAACAGCCCGAGCCACCTGCAAAGCCAAGCCGACTCCCGTGCTGCTCATAACGTGCCTTCCTTTTGGGTACCTCTAGAAACAACTCACCTTCTTCCTGTGCTGCTCTGCTGCTTCTCTCATTCTCGCCTCAGCCTCCCTCCTCTCCCCTTCCAGCACCCCCACCAGTTGACTCCTCTCCACCACAGCAGCCCGAGCCACCCGCACCGCCGAACCTTCCCGCTCGCGCGCCCGAGCCTCCGCTGCAGCTTCGGCGGCTAGGCGCTCAGCTTCGGCACGTTGTGCCTTGGCCTGCGCGATGCTAGAAGATTCCTCATCATCCTCCTCTTCCTCTTCGTCCTCATCCTCATCCTCTGTATAGTCTGACCCTGAAAGGATATCACAAGAAGAAAAGTTTTAAGACGCCGCAGAGAACTTATTCTCTTTACAGTCTGGCGTTATAGCGGATATTGTGGGAAGGAAAAGAGCAAGAACCCTGCCATTATGAAAAGAAGCAGTGTAGAGAGGGGTAAGGAAGAAAGGAAGCCAAGGAAGGAGAATGGGAGTGGGAAGAGGTGGAAAGGTGGGGGTTGGAGATTGGCGGGAGGACGGGGGGTAAGTGCGAGGTTGGGAGGAAGATGTGATGCGACCCCACCTGTGCTTGTGCCTGTGGCGCTGTAATCATTATCATAATCAAAATCGACATGTGAATCTGGGATGAGACTACCTTTTAATGACTCAAACATTGGCCCACCTGTGCTCGTGTCCGTGGTACTGTAATCGTCATCATCGTCAAAATCATCATCCTCCTCCTCACTACCCTCCTCCTCCTCGTCGTCCTCCTCCTCCTCATCCTCCTCATCTCCCTCACTCCCTCCCTCACTCCCTTCATCATCAGCATGTTCGTCGGCTGAAATCTCACCCCCCCTTGGCCGCCCCTGCATTTGCGGACTCTCAAACAGCCCTCCCCTTTGGCTCGGCCCAAACCTCTGCCGGTCCGGAGTGCTGGACGCCGAACCTCCTCTTTGAGGAATGGTAAGAGCTGATTCATTACAGGCCTTTACAGGGGTTCGTTTTTGGGGTGCCTCAAGAACACCAGAGCCCTTTTTCTCTCTTGCCGCTTCTGCCGCTTCTGCTGCCCCTGCTTCTGCCCCTGCTTCTGCCCCTGCTTCTGCCCCTGCTTCTGCCCCTGCTTCTGCCCCTGCTCCTGCGTTTCCTGCTTCTTCTGCTGCTGTGTCTCTTCCTGCTGCTTCTGCTTCTAACGCTGACACTGTTGCTGCTGTTCCTGCTGCTCCCCCTGCTTCTTCCTTCTCCTCCCTGCTCCAATGCTTGTCGCCATGCGCATGCTCCTGCCTCTCTTTCTCATGTCTCTCATGCTTCTCCTGCTCGTGTCCATGCTTATGCTCATGCCTAAGTGCATCCCCATGCGCATGCTTATGCACATGCTCACGACCATGCGCGGGTGCGTCATCCCTCTCGCCCTCTGCACCATCCCTCAATTCATTCCCCCCTCCGCTTCCGCTTCCGCTTCCGTTTCCGCTTCCACTTGCGCCCAGCTCCACCGTTGCGACTAACTCCCCGCCTCCGCCTTTCCCCGCGCGTGCTCCCCCCGTCCCCTTTCCCCCGCCGCCGTCCCCCCCTGCTGCAGCCTCCGCGGCAGCTTTCCCCCTGACTTTCCGCTGCCGCGCGTCTCTCGCGGATTTCTCAGACCCAATCCCAGATGCTCCCATCTGCCTTTGCGATTTCTCACCACCCGTTTCTCCTGCTGCAGATCTCTCAGGGGTTGACAACTTCCGGGAAGATTCGCCAGCCGAGCCCACCTGACTGGACCCATCAAAACCGATCAATCCTTCGCCCGCAGCGCTTTCGCCTGCTGTTGCTCGCGCTTCCTTCCGTCTCCCTTTGTGGATGACTCGCTTTAAGTACGCATCTAATAGGTCGTCTGCACTTGCTGTCGCTTCGCCTGCCCTGGTCTTCGTGTCGCCTGGATTTACCAAACTCCCCAATTTCGCCGTCGAGTCCGTCAAAGCATCCGTTGGATATTCGGTTAACTTTTCCGTTTCGCTGACAAGGCTCGGTTGGTCAGCTGACCCGGTTGGCATTGGCGGCGGGCCCCCGAATCGCGATGCGTCGCCTGTCATGGCTAAGCGACGCTGGTCTGCGACTGCGACAATACTACTGCAAGCCTACACGAACACGCAGGGCAGGAGAAAAACGTTCACAGCAAGCCGACGGTAACAGCTGTAATAAACGAGCTTTTGCTCTCCCGAATCTAAAAAAACTCCCATTGGTCTGTCTACTAGCGCGGATACTGCTGCTTTCGGCATGGTCGCAAAATCTGTCTGCAAGAAATGTCGCATGAAAAGTGTCGGCCGTTGTTCGGTGACTTACCTAACCTGTCAATGTTTTCGTCAGGCTTTCGCGCTGATCGCACAAATCTGTCACACGCCTCGCCTAAAGGTTTTGCCTCGCTTTGTTGGGAGTTCTGCGGGATTGTGAAGTAAAGTAAGTTAAAACCTTGATTCTTTGTTTGTGTTTTGTTTATATGTGCTATTTTATAGCTCTCTGTAACAGTTCGTATCACACGTTCTGCAACATGATTGGTTGTCTCTGCATGTTGCAAATACCTTGAGTGCCTCACACGTGTTGCCGAAAAAGGGCATTCCAGCCATCTCTGATGTCGCATCCAGCCGCAACTCTCACTATCAACCGTCCATTTTCTACTGTCGAGCCGCACCCGTTTGCTTGTTCTAACGGTCATACTTTAGTGCCTCCTGTCACCAAGTTCCGAAATTTGCGCTACTCACTTGCATGATGCAACCGGAACTTTCCTTTCATACTTCCCAGAAGGCTCTAGTTTTCAGCAGCCCATCCCTCTCATCTTCTCTTCATACCACTCGGTCTAGGGTGGCACTGCCTTTCAGTTTGCGGTTGTCTTGTTTATCATTCCAACCCCTTGCGTTGGACCTTTTGCACGTGCGACTCTAGTTTGTGCACTTTCACATTAGTTGGTCGGTAAGGCGCCCGCTTTAATCTTTCATTCGTGTCGCGCTTGTCTTAGGTAGAGTTTACCACGTGTCAGTTTTGTACGCGGGTGTCGCCATGGCTCCTGGAGACCTGTCCAATCGCGATGCAGATCCCTCCTTACCGGCTGTCGCAGCCGAGTCGCGCAGTAGTGTCAGAACAGAGACCGTTGACGAGACTCGCGTCACCGAGGGTCTTCGCCTTAGGAAGCTGCGGCTCGGTAGAGATGACCAGAAACGACAAACTCTCCATGTGCCAAAAGCGCACGTGCACTCCACAGACCCCGCGAGTCTATCCTCGTTACAAGCAACCCCGGAACCGGTGTCGCCTGTCGGCCGACTGTTTCTGGACAACGGCTTCTACACTACAATTCTATGCGTGCTGGAGTTTAAGAACGAAATGGAGATTAAAGAGCTAAGAGACATCCTGGAGCACACGCTCCTGCAACACCCGCGCTTCCACAGCCGCCTGGTGGGTGTTAAGATGCAGAGTTAAGCATTTCGGCGGCTGGTGGGTAATATCAAGCCGTCCTTTTCTAACACCATAGTTGCATGGTGCTTTTATGTCATCTCCTCATCCTTTCCCACCCTCTCCCTTTCCCCACCTCCCGCTTCCCCCTTTTTCAACTTCACCTCCCTCACTCGTCCTCATCCTCTTACCCTCCCAACTCCACCCAATTCCTCCCCACCCCTCCCCACCGCACCACATTGCTCCTTGTTCCCCCTCATTCTCATCCCTCTCTGCTCCCACAGGTCTCTAGCCCTGGTGGCGTGCCAGCGTGGGTGCTTATGGATGCTGCTGACGTGGATCTAGAGTACCATGTCGTGGAAGAGGAAGCTGCTGACGTGGATTCGTCACAGCGCCACGTGGCAGGGGATGAGGGAGGCGGAGGAGGAGGAAAAGGAGGTGAAGAAGAGAGGGGAGGGGGAGGGGAAGGCGAGGGAGCATTGGAATCTCAAGTCGTGCGATTGCAGTCACTGCCTCCTTTTGATCCCAACCGTCCGCTCTGGCAGGTGGGGGTCCTGGACCGGTAGTGGTAGCTCTGTAACACTTTGACAGATTTGTCAGTTTGTGCAGCATGTTGGCTATTGTCTGTTTAGTCGACCCAGGAGCCCTTTGTGTTGGGGTCTTGAAATCTTGGCCGAGCTGGCATTTGAAAGCATGTTCTTTCACTTGAGTCCGGTCTCCTCGAATGCCCTGTGACTGCTCGTTGGTTTGATCTCATTTTGACTCTCGTTGACTCTTGTTGACTGCCTTGACTACCTTGACTGCCTGGCACCGCCCCTTGCCTTTCCGCATCAGGTGCATCTCATTCACCTGCCAGCTGGCACCCGTCCAAACGAGCCACGTCAGCGCCACTCTGCAGCCGTATTCAGGTGACTTGTCATCGTCAGGTGAAAGTTCAGGTGGATATTTTCAGGTCAACGCTCCTGTAGGTCCTCAGGTAAGGCGTCAGGTGAAGGTTAGATGTGAATGCTGCTTTGCTTGTATGTTTGCCTTACTTCCTATACATCTATCTTCCCTTGTGCTACGCTGGCATTCTTATATAAGCAGAATACAAGTGATTTGCGAGTCAACTCAAAGCATGTCCTTTGTGCTTCTCTCTCATTTCACTCCTGTCTTGCCCACACCCCTTCCCCCCACCCTCCCTTTTGTGTCCCTCTCTTCATCTCTTTACCCCACCACCTCCAGGATTCACCAAGCCCTGGGCGACGGAATCTATCTCATCTCTTCCTGCTCACTGCTACCAAAACCGTCTTCTGTTCTCACGCCTTTCACTCATCTACTACTAACACTCCCTCCTCTTCCCACCACCACCAGGATTCACCATGCCTTGGGTGACGGAATCTCGCTCATGTCTCTCCTGCTAGCTGCCACCCGCCGAACCGACAACCCGGACCTCCTTCCGAGCCTACCAGGCAGCTTGGGTGCATCCACTAGGCAAAAGATCCCCTCCTCCTCAGAGCCACCCACGAGCAGCAGTGATGGTAGCAGCAGTGGTAGGAACAGAAGCAGTAGCAGTGAGGGGGGAAGCAGCAAGGGAAAAGAGGCAGCGTCAGAAGTTTCCAGGATTAAGGGGTCGTTCCGAAGGTTGCTGACGCTCCTGTGGGTTGCGCTTGTGCGGGTGGTGGTGGCGGTGTGGCGGATGGTGCGAGTGGCAGTCAACACAACCATGCAGGTGCGTGGCATTTAACCCAGCAAGAAGCTTTGTCCAAAAGGTTATTGGCGCTCTTGTGGGTTGCGGTTGTGCGTGTGGTGGTGGCGGTGTGGCGGGTGATGCGAGTGACAGTCAACTTTTGAGAATTCTCAAAAGTCGCTTTTGGGAATTCTCAAATGCGTGTGGTGGTGGCGGTGTGGCGGGTGATGCAAGTGACAGTCAACTCAACACTGCAGGTGCGTGGCAGGCAAGACAACACAGCAAGTATGTGCATGAATCCAAACTCATATCGGAATAGCTGCAAATCCTGAAGAAAACGCTTAAGCAACTGTAGGGAACGAAACTGTAAAAAACTTCCCTGAAATTGAAGTAGTACAAGAAACCCCTTAACTCGTAAGAATCCTAATCGCAAACTAGTTTCGGCCAACGGGTTAAACCCGATCAGCCTTCATCAGTGCTTGTCAGATCCACACAAGAAAGAAGGGCTTAGAGCAGCAGCTCGCTAAGTACTAGCCTACTGCCCTCGAGATCTACTTTGTGTCAACCAACTACCCAGATTGTAATTTACAAGCAATCGCCAACTAAGCAATGGGAAACACCCAGGGTGCAGAGTCAGCCTTCGGGAAAGTCTTCAACACACCTGTCATTTTGGTAACCGCGCACGAACCAGTAACTTTTGCAAGTTACGAGAACACTTCCAAGCAGTTATAAACCTCTCCACATAAAATCCGCGAGTACTTAGGCGATATTTGAGGCGCCTCAAAAAGACCCCCAGCCTGAGACGAGATGTCATCGGAGTAAACACTGTCTTCAAGACCAGGGGGGCGCGGGTGGGGGGAGAGGTGAGTTTAAAAGCTTGGCGTGCAGCGGTTTCCTCCAATAGGAGGTGTCGGTGGCGGAAGAAAACTGTCCGGAAGATGGGCAGGAAGAAATTGTTGGTGCAACCCTACGGTTTGCACTCGGCTTGTTGTCCGTGTGCGTGAATGTGTGTGTGTATGGAATGGTATGAGGGCATGGGATAATATATATTTCATGCTTATAATTGTGTGTGAATGTTGAGTCATGATGTCGAGTGTGTGTGTCGAGTCAATAGCGAGTTATCGCTAGACGCGTGTTACGCGGTCGTTTGTGTCTCGCGCGCGGTTTCTATTTTGTCGTGCGCGGTTTCTATTTTGTCCTGTGTCGAACGTTCGGCGTGTCGCATGTGTGTGCAGCAGACCCATCAAGAACTCAAGGATGAGTTTGTGATGAAGAGCCCGAGCCTTGGTGTCAAGCCTCAAGTGATTTCGAAGCTCGCCAAAAAGGGTACACCTCAAGATATTGAAGATAGTTACATTACTTTGTGTAGTGTAACATTTCACTTGGTGTAGGCCCTAGTGAAGGGTAGTTTCGAGACCCTTCGTGGTTGGGGACAGTGTGGCACTGATCCACATCACTGTACCTCGGCTCTTGGGGTTTGTAGGAGCTGGGAGTCATTCCCAACTCGTAACTCTTCCTATCTTGTGTTCTAAGACTATAGTGGCTGCCATAGTACCGTTCGTTCAAACCGACGCTGTGTCGTCAATTCTTTATCAAATCGTGCAATCTAAATTGCTAATTGTAGACGACGTGAAGAAGCTCCAGATCCAATTTGAATCAAGTCATTTGCAGCTGTGAGCAGAACGCTATCAACGTTTGAAGCCGCTGTGCAGAAATCCGTCTGTGCTCTCTATCTTTCGTTTTAGGCACATTCAAGCCTATTGTGACTGTAACAAGTGGTATCAGAGCCATTGGAGCAGTTTCGACAATGTCTGGACCTGAGGAAAGGGGTGGCAGAGGTGCTGGTGGCAGTGGAGAAGCTCAAGCTCAAGGCCAACCCCGTGATTCAGCCATGGCGCCCATGCAACCAAGTCTTGGCCCACCTAGGGATGAGCCTAGGGTGTTTGGGCTTGACAAGTTCAACGGTGACAACTTTGCTGAATGGTCCTTCAAGATGGAGAACATCTTTGACCACTATGACCTGCTGGAGGTGATGGAAGGAACGGAGAAGCGCCCCGAGAACGACCCGGAGAAGAGCCCGTGGGTGCGGAAGAGCGCACAAGGCTATCTCTTACTTGGGCAAGCGTTGGGGAGCAGTCAGATCCGTCACATCAAGCCATTCCAGCGTGAACCAGAGAAAGGACCAAAGGCATGGGCTGCTCTCAAGGGTGTACATGCTCCTGCAACAGCGGCGGTAGCGGTGGTGTTGGAACGACAAATGGCGGCACTACGAATTGAAGAAGACGAAGCGGTTGAAGAAGGGGTGCAAAAATTCTTCGACTTGTTGACGCGGCTTGAGGGAGCTGATTTGAACTACAGTGAGCTCCAAAAGAAGACCAAGTTGCTGGCCTTACTCCCAGAGTCATGGTCCTCGCTCATCATCAACCTTAATCGCGACTTGCCCCGCCTCTCGCTTGAAGACGTGAAGCGAGCTATCCTTCAAGAGGATTTCCGCCGCCGTGAGTTGGCGAGTGCGGATGGCGCTGGGGCAGCGAGCATCGGCCGTGGATATGGTCGAGGAAGAGGCAGAGGACGAGGGGGAGGAAGGTTTGGTGGCAGCAACTTCGGCGGAGGCCGCAGGAGTGGCGGTTACGGCAGCGACGACAAGAGCTACGGACGCGGTCGCGGCCGATTCGACGGCGAGTGTCACTATTGCCACAAGAGCGGACACATGTGGCGCGACTGCTACAAACTCCCTGATGGTTGGACCCCTGCTCAAGGCCAAGAGGGTAGAGGAGCAGGAGGAGGGAGAGGACGAGGCCGTGGAGGCCGTGGCGGTCGCGGTGGCGGAGCTGCAAACATGAAGAGCGGAGACAACGACAAGGACCCGAGCGACGATCGATACCCGGGTCTATTCTACTTCGTGTCGACGCAAGTACCGGCTGGTCCAGAGAAGGATGAAGGCTTTGAGGAGCCAGCAGCTGTGGGGAAGGTGACCCTACACCCCCTGGACTATTGGGTGATTGATAGTGGCGCTACCTATAGCATGACACCTCGCCCGGACTTGCTCACCGAACTCGAGCCGTCACCGGTGAAGCATGTCACATCGGCTTTGGGGCAGCGAGCAGAGGTGAAAGGCATGGGCAAGGCCATGTTCAAGGGTGCTGATGGGAAGATGGTGGGCCTCAAGAACGTGCTTTGGGTGCCCAGCCTTGCTGCAAACCTGATTTCCGTGCGGCGGTTGGCAAAGGCCGGCATGGACACGAACTCGAAGGGAGCCAAGACCTACACCGCAAGGCTTGGCGATCGAATTCTTTGGGACCTTCATGAGGACAGGGATGTCTACAACGAGATGTGGCAGATCCCAGTGGTCCCTATGCCTAAGGAGAGGCAAGTGGCAGCAAGCATCAGCACCAAGGATGGAGCGGTCGGTAGCGACGATGGCGCGAACGGTCGCGCTAAGGAGAATGAGCTCAAGAAGAGCAAACCTGGAGGGACCAGCAAGTTCAGTGAACCTAAGGAGAGTGGTGCAGCAACCAAGGAGCAGCAAAAGGGTGAGGAGAACCCAGAGGCAGCAGCGGAGGAGGACTACGGAGAGAGTATGTGGGGCGCTATTGCGAGCGCGGCATTCTCCAATCCAACTTCGGCTACGGGGGAGTGTGATTGGCTCACCTTGCATCAGCGCATGGGGCATGTGGCCCTGCCCATCTTGCAGCAGCTAGTGAAGAATGAGATGGTTGCTGGCATACGTGTGAAGGGGGAGCCCGATGAGGTGCTTGGCTGCCCGACGTGCATTCAAGCCAAGTTCACCCGGTTTCCGTTCCCTAGTTCGGAGGCAACGGCAAAGGCACCGCTTGATGAGGTGGTGATGGACGTGGTGGGCCCCCTGAAGCTTGGAGCTGCTGGAGCTGAGTATTTTCTCACCATTGTCGACGTCTACACCCGCATGACTTGGGTGTACGTGCTGGCCAAGAAGAGCGACGTGGCTGAAACGTTGAAGACGGATTGGTTTCCGATGGTGGAGCGGCAGCAAGACCGTCTAGTCAAGTCAATCCGCACCGATCGAGGGGGAGAGTTCCTGAGCAAGGAGTTTGGGTTGTGGCTGAAGAAGAATGGTATTCGGCACTCCCTCACCATGCCATACTCCCCTGCAATGAACGGCATCGCCGAGCGAGCGAACCGCACAATCACGGAGGCGGCACGCGGGTTGCTCATTGAAGCCGGGCTACCCGACTATTTCTGGCCTGATGCGGTGCGGAGCGCGTGTGTGGCCAAGAACAGAGCCTTGACTCATGTGGGAGCAGACAAATGGGTGCCCTATGTGGAGTGGCTAGGAAGGAAGCCAAAGGTGGATATGCTTCGGGTGTTCGGGTGCATGTGCATGGCGCTCGTGCCTAAGCATCTTCGGCACAACAAGCTTGGTGCCAAGGCGGTGTGGGCCGTGCACTTGGGCATGGCTCAAAACAGCAAGGGATGGCTTCTTTGGGACCCATTCACCAAGAAGTTCTTGGTGAGCAGGGACTGCAAGTTCATGGAGAACTTCATGTACAAGGATTGGAAGGCGGAGAATGAGGCGAAGATAGGCGTGCGGTTTGGGGAGGTGAAGAGTTCCGGTTTGGAGCATGTGGAGCTGCCTTTGGAGCTGAGCAGCGGCAGCACAACCACAAGGCAATCCTCCCTTGTGAATGGGGGAGAGGAGGCCAATGATGCAGAGGAAGAAGAGGAGGAGGTGCAGCAAGTGAGCGAGCGTGCACCGTCACTCCCTTCCCGTACTACGAGTGCTCCACGGATTCGAGCCACACCGCAGCAACGCCAAGGCCTTCAAGTCCCTGCAGCTGAGGAGGAAGGAAGGGGGAAGAGGAGAGTTCAACCCCCTAATAGGCTGACCTATGATGCGCCGGGAAAGCAGGGCAAGACAGCCCTGGCCGGAGCGGCAATGATGGTCGGAGACGACGAGGAGAGTGACTACGAGGAGTGTGCCTTCGCGTTCTTCTCTCCGGTGGAGATGCCGGGAGAACCAGCAACTCTCAAGGAGGCTTTGGAGAGTAGTGATGCTGAGGAGT